TCCTTCACAGCTTCAGCAGATGGAATGCTACCACTAGTTAGATTTTCTCCACATGCAATGAAAGTTAATTATGATGTAAAAAAGCATGGAGCAAGTCAGGAAGAATGACTATGAAAACTGCACACTCAGCTTTCCAGACCAGGAGCCCAAACTCACTCTGGTTAACAAATCTCCCCACAATCCTCCTACATCTGTCTGCCCCATTCTCTTACTGCACATATACCCCCTCTCAAATCAAGATCCTAATATCTTAACTCTCTATTCCTTTGCATCCCAGCTCAGGAAACCACACCTTCAAGCTCACCCCAACTTAAGTCTTGCAACACCAGCCCATGGCCTCAGTTGAAGATCAGATCTTGACCCTATCTCCAGCACTACCTCCAGAGCCCAAGCAGAAGGCAGAGGCCTCATGTCCTGCAAATGTTTGTGCCCCTTTTCCTTGCTCACACCATCAAGCACAGAGGAACAGGCAAAGCGAAGCACCTAAAGCACGTCACGTTACCCTTTGTGCAGGCCTGCTCTCACTGAGTCTTTCAACAAGGCAAGGCCTAGTAAAAACTGAGCCAGAATAAAAATACCTCTCTTACCTTTTCAAGTTCCTTACTGAAAACTTCCTTTTCTTCTGCAATTTTTGATTGTAAAAGCAATAACGTGGAATCAAGCTGAATTCTATTAAACATAGCCAATGTAGACATTTTGAGGTGCATATAAACAACAACAAAAAAAAAGAGGTTAAAACTATTAAAACTTACACATTCTTATTCTCAGGCCCCTCCTGTGAACGTAAGCTATGTGAATGTTTGCATACATTTGAGCTCTATTCCATTCAGACATACTTATTCATTACTTCCCTCTAATATATCCGTTGAGAATAAAACATGCAAAGAAGGTAAGGACATACAGAACTAGTAGGCTTCCTACTGCAAGATCTTAAAGTACAAGCCAAGGAAGGCTTGTGGGGAGAGGCAATATTTTCTATAGACAAACTGATAGAATTAGTACACAAGAGGAAAGCAGTCAGGTTTTCAGGTAAGTAAGTCCTGCCAGCAACAAGCCTACAGCTTAAAATGAGTAGACTTGAGCATAGATTTATCTTTCTTGCTTCTGATGGACGTTGTGTGTATGTATGTTTCACAGGTTATAGTCAGAACAAGGGATACTAACTTCCTTTTTCTATCTTCTGTACAAACCAGGAGTCATGCAAGAAGCATGAGCCTACCCAAAGAAGTGTTTGAAGAAAGAAATCTGATACAGAGGAGAAGAGGATATCAAAGGAAAAAGAGGAGGAGAAAGCCCTACCATCCTAGAGGTTTCACAGCAAACAAATATAGAAGCTAAAATCCTTATTGACCAGGCCTTGAAAGTGTGTGTCAAACATTGTGAAGGAACAAATACATTGACCAGATCCTTTCTGTAACTCAACTGCCTAATTCATCTGTTACATCAAATACCAGCATGAGTTATGAAGGACCAACACCCTAAAAGACTTTCACAGCACTGAGCAGCTATAAAAATACGGAACAAAAAGAACAGAAAGACAATGCTTCCGTTACACTCAGACGAGGAAATTCACCATAATCCACATCTCTGTGGTCCTCACCAGGTAATGACTATTCAGACCCTCGAAACATAAGTATGGTCAACTTCCCCAACAAAGTATTTCTACTGAAGTTAATACTCAAGAGAGTAAAGATAAGCAATTTATAACAGCCTACAGGATCAAGGGCCACAGCCAGATGCTGGCTGCAGCTCATTTTTTACAGTAATTACATTATTAATTAATGGAAACATTAATTTCATGAAGACATTAATGAATTAGTTCTGCCATCAAGAAAAATAGTAGAGTTCAGAGCAATAATTTTACCCAAGTTTCCAATAATTCATATTTCCTTTTTTGTAGGGATTCTTAGCTCAGCCTGTAGAGGGAAATGGGCTCAAACAAAAAGTTTAAATCACCAGGAAGAGTCTCAATTTTTTTCCTGTCACTTCAGTCATATAACCCTTCAGAAGGCCTATGGCAGAGTCAGAAGAGAAGCAGCTATGGAGCTAGCCTGGATGATGCCAAACTGAGGATCTCCACACTGACCTCCATGGGGGTAACACAGACAAGCCCATAGAATGACATTTGGATTATCTTGCCTTTTCACATCATTTGTGATGCTTTGCACCTCAGGTAACATATGGAAGAAGTAGTCCCAGTGCCACAGCAAATATAAGTATTCCAGCTGATAGGAAGAGGATAGCATGAGTAGGGAGTAATAACTGACTTTGCTACCATGCATGATTGTTAGAAGGACAGTGTAACTCTAGTCCAAAGGGCACTATTTGTAAATATTTGTTGCCTGATAGCTAATTTTGATCAACTGCAGCTGCCCTCCAAGGCTTTACTCTATGCCCACTGAAGGCAATAGAGAGAATCCCATTAAATAATTCACATACTTTATAAAATTTGGCCGGTTCTTCTTTAATATTGGTGAAAAGTTCCCTTAGAAAACATTGGTGCAGGTTTAGCAAAGAGATCAGATCACATGGTCTAATGATTCTTACTTCTTTTCAGAGAGTGCCAGCATGTCTGTCTTTTTAAATTCCAGGGTTTTTTCCAGTTGCTTGTTTTTTTCTTTCAGCTTTGTTATGAGAATTTCTTCATTAAATATAGTCTATAAAAAAATATAACAGACTATGTCAAAACATATGAAATTTCCAAAACAGCTGATAATGAATCCCTTTACTGCCACTGTTGTTTCTTTTTTTTTCCAAGCTGTCATAACATCTGTATAAGACTGCTATTTTCTAGCTGCTCTCAGATTTCACAACCAAGAATACTGCAGCCTGCAAAGAAAGAATACTGAGGAAGCAGTGGTTAAGGCTGTATTTACTGTAGTTAATAACTGAAAGAGTTAAAAAAATAATCAATGCAGGTTGGTAATGAAAAGAAACTTTAAAATATTAACCTATGAAAACTGTTATTTAAGAGAAAATTACTGCAGCTAACTCATTTTTACTAACATGATACTCATTCAGACAGAAAGGACTTTTGCTGGGAAGGCAGCAATTCCTCTAAAGGAAGATGGCAAGACCAGGGCAGAAAATGATGTTTTACATCTCAGTTTGTCTCAACTCATTACACAAGTATTAGTTTTGCAGTGTGGTTGCTTCAGTAGTGCCGAGGTAATAAATTTATTACCTCAGCAGGTAATAAATTAGTTTAATTGCAAGAAATTATAAAAGGAAAGATGAGGACACTGATCTTCCCTTTTCTCTGGTAAGTTATACCTGCAGAAAGGGAAAAGTAGCTCTAGAGTAGGCAGGGTTGAACTGAAAGCCAGTATTAAATAGATGGCAGACAGAGAAAGCCTGGTTGTCTTTTAGCACAATTCATTTTGACTTTCCAGATCCTGAGCCTCCTTAAAATTGTCATGTCCACCAGTGTGGAGTTATTTACACTGCTGAATGCATTCCCAGGCAGTTGAGCATAATACATCCTCCTTGCTTATTTTAGTTTCTGCACTATTTTTCCAGTGCAAAGGTTTTCATAATATCTGAACAGAGTCTTCTATTCAAATCTCCTTATTTCTTCCCCCCGTATCATAATTTGCATCCACTAAACATCTGTTGACTAACATCTCTTTTTCAGGTAGTCCTCCAGCTAGCTCCACTGGGATCCTGGTCACCCTCTCACTGACTTTTTTCTAATATTCCCTATAAGAGTGTCCTGATAAATAGATTGACCAGCCCAGTGTAGCCAACTGTTTCGTTAAGCTGGCAAAACCAGTTCATATGAACCTTCTATTTTTGAAAGAGACTTTATAACTGTGTAACTAACAGTTAATAACGTTAGCCAGTTAGACATCATGCAAGCTTATTGTTCTTCTCAGAAGGCAGGCTCTGCATTTCTCTATTAATTCCCCTTACTTTGACCAATTACAGAAATTGAATGTTGATCTATGCAGTAATTAACCAAAACAATTTTGTGTATTACTTACTGTTGAATTCTGACTTATCAAATTCTGTAGGTCCAAATATTTGGTATTCAAGTTTTCAAATTCATGCTTTTTCTTGGAAGTTTTTGCCTCCTGACTATCAAGGATTTTTTTCATTTCTCTCTTCTACATTAAAAATAATACACATAATTTAGCAATGTAATGGTCATTATCTAAAAATTTGTATTAAAACATCTGAAACCTTCCAAAATTAAATGAGCACAAAATTTACATTGGAACAATATAATTTTTTGCGAAAGCCACAGCTATGTACCAAGTGAATAAATTCTGTAAGAAAAAGAAACAACAATTAAATAATATAACATGCAAATTAAGATCTGATCTGTCAAAAATTCACGTGATTTTATTCCAGTATAGGAACCTGGTTATACTTCATTTTGTACTAGAAATGTTTCTTTTAATCTGATCATCTGTTTTTACATTATCATTCAGAAAAGATATCAAATATACACCACTAAAAGTAGGTCAGAATATATAAAAAACAAAAAACCTTATTTCTGAGCTTGCTGGAAAATACAGGTACCTTTGCTTTAAGTGGTTTGCCTGGAGGGGTTGAATTCCCAGTACATCATTATTTGTCCCACAGTCAGTAAGAAGCACCAATACAGACATGACACGCTGAGATGTACTGCTAGAAAACAAATTTCATATACCATGCAATTGTGATGTTTGTTTGTGGATATACAAACAAACCACACACACCCTGCACACACATAAGCACATGTATACACGAGTCAAAACAGTGTGCGTGCTCCCGATGTCCAGGGTCACTTTTCTGTTTGTGCTGCTGTGAAGACGTATGTTAGCTCCATATGAGAAAGCAAAACACATCTGGAATAATTTCTAAGGTAATTTCATTTTTGCCACTATATAACTGTAAAACTGTGAAATACATTTCAAAACCTTTACCTTTTTATCACATTCTTCTTTCTGTTTCTCAAGTTTACTCATTTTTTTTCTCAAGTTTACTCATTTTTTCAGCTATTTTTCCTTTCAATTCTGCTAATGCTGCCTTCGCCCTGATTATGTCTCTTTCTGTATCTCTTGTTTTATCAGAAATCTCAATTAAGAGACCATTTGTATTAACTTTTGTTGCCATCCTTTCATTCAGCAAGTCTACTTTCTCTTTATACTGTGTCCGCAAGTATTCTTGTTCCTCACTTTAAAAAAAAAAAAAAAAGATCATGGTATTTCCCACCATTCATTCAGGTCAGTGACTTCGTTCAGATGTTCTTTGAAATGAATACTTGCCTATCCATACATTGGCAGCTCAGTCTACTGTCGCACTACACATACCCTTAGGCATGACCTGCACTGGTTCCTGTGATGAAGTTATTTGTATTATAATTTTTTCAAAGTTTAACTTTTTCTGAGGTGGCTGAGCGAATTGAGCTTGTTCAGCCTGGAGAAGAGAAGGCTCCGGAGAGACCTTATTGCAGCCTTCCTGTGCCTGAAGGGGCTACAAGGAAGCTGGGGGGGACTTTTTACAAGGGCCTGTAGTGACAGGACAAGGGGTAATGGGTTTAAATTGACAGTGTGGAGGTTTAGATTAGATATCAGGAAGAAGTTCTTCCCAGAGAGGGTGGTGAAGCACTGGAAGAGGTTGCCCAGAGAAGCTGTGGATGCCCCATCCCTGGAAGTGTTCAAGGCCAGGCTGGATGAGGGTTTGCGCCACCCGGGTGGTGTTCTTGCCCATGGCAGGGGGGTTGGAACTGGATTATCTTTAAGGTCTCTTCCAACCTAAACCATTCTGTGATTCTGTGATTGTTTTTCAAAAGTTTCATTAAAAACAGAAGGGCTGCTTGCAACCACTGAAAGAGTGAAGAAAGCAGGCTTCCCCTAAAACGCATTGTGATTTATTTTTGAACAGCTCTAGCAGCATGGCAGAAGGTGAGAGTGACATGAAATCTGGCAGGGAGAAAGCAAGTATCTCCCAAGTCTCTCTATCATCTTGGGTAACTCTTCAAGAGGAATATGGATCTTTAGCACAGTTACTGATTCAGAGTTTATTCCACAGTTGGTTTTTTTTTAAGCTGGAAACTATGATCTTTGTTTGCAGTAATTCCTTAACATTAATTGTTGAAAGATAAAACTCTCCCTGCTAGTGTGAGAAGCAAAGCTGCAGACAGTTTTCCCTAAGCTACCTTATCAGGGGGCAGGGAGCAGCAGTCAGGCTCTGCTGTTCAAGAAACAAGATCTTAAAAATCAGGCTTGCTGCTGCACCAAAGGGTTGCCTAGAAACATTTGCAGCTAGCTGCAGGGGTGAGGGCCAAGCACTACTCAAACGTATTGACAACAATTCAGCTCTCCCTAATCATCTCGCCACTATGGTTTTCCATGTTCAAGTTAATACATACCACAGTGCAGCATTCTGTCTTTCACAAAGGGTTTGCTTCTCATTTAGTAATTCAGTTTCGTCAGCAACGCTTTTCGGTGCAGCCTGTAGCTGAGTTATCTTTGCAGCACTAGATTCACGTGCAGCAGTAACGAGAGCTAAAAAATAAATACAAAATATGCAAAAACATCTTAGCTATAAAAAGGTACATATGAGCTAATGGATTAAGGGATTGGTCCATAATCTTTAATTCACTGCTATAGGTACCATCGCCTGGTAAGGGATAGCTGTGATCCTAAGACACTAGCATCCCTGAATTCGCATAATGTATTTCCATAGTTTAATTTTATCACGTTTTCCCTGAGTCATCTGCATCTGTCAACAAAAAGCAACCTGCTGTGTTCTCACAGAACAATTGCTCTTTTTCATACTATATGTCTAAATAATTCCCTAGATATATAGTGAACTGATAAAAATTACTCTTTCCTCCCCAAAAAATCCTTTGCACAACCAGGTCAGGCAGCCAGGGACAAGGATAAGGATCATCTGGCATTAAATTCAATAGAATTTCTTCCAGAAAAGCCACTGCTGTGTGACAGCGAAGAGCCTGCATGAAGCGGCACTGCGGTTCAAGCTCCTCTGTGCGGGGGCGTTGTACTACAGCATCTTTTCAGCTTCTGAGACAACAGCCACATCAGTGTACATCCACCCATGCAAAAACACTTCGGCAGTGCAGAATGGGAGCAGCTAGTATAAACAACCAACTAACTGCATAGCAACCACGTGCTCTAGGCAGAGAGATGAGGGAGGAAACTTGCTATAAGGAAGTAATCAATAACCACAGAATGTAGCTGGAAAAAAAATAAAAAAAAATAAAGCTCTGGTTGCTTTTTCATGATGACCCTAAAGTTGAAGTCGTCAAGTGACCAAAAGACATGTAGATGTGGCACTCAGGGACATGGTTTCATGGTAGATTTGGCAGTTTTGGGTTAACAGTTTGACTTCCTGAACTTAAAGGCCTTTTCCAAATTAACAATTCTGTGATTCTATGATCTAACTTCACAGTACTCCAAAAGGAGTAGTCCTGTTCTCCCTGGCCACCCTGCCATCTCACCTGCTGTGCCACCACTGACAATCATGGAACCTCACGGTTAGCCAGATAAAGAACTCCAACTCCCTTGCTTCTCTCAAAAAAGAAGAACATTTATCTGGATCAACTCCTTGACCACTTTGCTTTGCGACTACGGGGCAAATAGCAGTGTAGTAGTAGAATATGGGTTGGTCATCATAAAAGTGAAACCATACCTGAGAAAAAAAGAGTAGAGCTCAAGCTTTATTTTCATCAAAGATACTTACACTTGAGCTAATGCTTTAGCCTCTTTTCATAGCCAGTGGAAAGAAAGAGGCACTTCTTCTGACTTGCTTTAAACATCTATGCTAGGGTGAGATGAATCATGCCTAGAAATGCCTCTTTGTCTTTACTGTCCAAAAGAGACAGTTGCTAAGCATTTGGTCAGATGAAGCCCACCCAAAAGTAATGTCACATCAGATGAGCATTATTAACCTTACTTCACAGAGAGGGAACTTGAAGCACAGAGCTCTCAAGTGCTTCATCTCAAGTATCAGAGAAAGGTTGTGGATTTCGGCTGGAATTCAAACTAAATGCTGCAGTTCTCTTCATTCCTCAAGTATTTGTGCATGGTCTTCAATGAAGATATCTCCCATTTACACTCTTACGTGAAAGAATAATCCCTCACAATATGATCCAATGGCAAACACCTATCTTCTTTCATTAAGTTATTACTGAAAATTATTTACTTTTAGCAGTAAGATTTATTTTATAGAATACTTCAGAATGTTTCAATGCATAGAAAATACAATTCTCTTGGGGTTTTTTGTTTGTTTGTTTGTTTTTTCCCAGGGCTGGTTAAGCCAGTACTACCTGTCATCTCTGCAACAATCTCTCCTGGAAAATTCTGCATTCTAAAGCGAAGATTGCTGGTCTTTATAGTCTCCTCTTCCAGACATTCAAGGGTATGCCTTCGAATTTCTTCCTGACAATTAAAAAAATCCACAAGTGAGAACCAAGTAATACAACAGCTGAAAAAACACTTCTTCCTTACCTTTTTTTTTTTTTTTAAGTTAGTTGATAATGGGTATTTTCCATGCCTAGAGATACCATTCCCTTTCCTCATACTTGCTCTCTTTCCTCCTTTCTTTCTCTCTTCCAAATAACAAGTGACTTGTTTTACAGGTAGCTGAACAAACCCATGTATTTCCAAGAACTGTTGACTGTTAGCAGTCCTCAGGAAGCTGTTCCCTACTTCTCTGCTACAAAAGCTGTGCTGGCAGGGAAGGTCTGAGCTATCAGCTTCTTCCATTGTGCATAAAGGGCATTATTTAAGCAAAAGAAGTGCCTAATTTCCCTGTGGCCTGAACCTATAACGAAGAATGGAGACTCCAGCTGGCCTTGAGACATGCTAGAAAGTCATCTTACTGTTCATGGTTAATGGTGTGAGAAGGGTTACTTTTGGAGTGACCAGGCTGAACTGGTTGTGGGAAGAGTCCCCAAACAACTGATTCCCCACATTTGTATAACTGAAAATTGTAGGTGGGTTGGTGAAGCTCTGAATAGTTGGAAAAAGGAATCAGTTCTTAAATGGATGTTGACTTTGACATCACAAGTTATGCATAAAACCAATCCTGTCTTTCTCCTTCACTTTTGCTAGCTGTTACAATCACCAGCTAAGGCACTGTAGGTAGAAAAGTTATTGTTGAGTTTTACTGTCTATATAGTAATTTCTATATGCACACATATAAACTTTTCTCATTTCATAAAGAAGTTGACATATTTAGAGGTGTAAAATAAAAGTGTAAAAGGTTTTAATTTCATATGTGTTACATCCTTAATTAGCTGAAGCAGTGAAAAAGAAAACAGCTTTATGATTTCAGCACATTATATAAAATGCTCATCTGATAGACTAATGCAGAGCTGGTCTGAAACAGAAAATTTAGAGGCCTAGTGATGGAGAAATGGAAGTTTTACAAGATTTACATCTACCTAGACAAATACATTATGGAGATACTTTTTAATTACCTTCTGTTTGAAGCCATCCTGGCTTTAATGGCTTCAGAGGTTCTACAACAAGAGTTAGCAACCTATAAATAGCTACCTGAAACTCATAATTGCTATAAGGTTTCCTATTATCACACATAATGCAGTTGTTTCAAGGAAAGACAAATTGTTCAAAAAATTAAGAAAATCCCTTTGCACCTAGTCCTGGGGTGCTGAACTCCTTACCATCCCTGGAATACATTGACATTAGTGGATGTATCCTCAGAGCAACCCTGAGAGGGGAGGTTAATTTTTCTCCCTTGCACCAATGGCCTTAAGGCCCTTATGATGTAAAAAGCTCTATACAAGTAGACCTCTGCCTTCAGGTGACTTCTGTGATGCTCCTACTATGTCACTGTAGGTTCAGAGCTTAGACCTCTTGCATAAAAGCAAACTATGAAGGTGCAATAGAACTTGGAACAGAAATTCAACCCTGAGTCCCAATTTACTCTGCTGACCATAAGACCCTTCCTCTTTTTACTTTGACAGCAGTCTGGGCACACCTCAGCTTTCACTGACCCCTAGTATAAACGGCATCTTCTGTTCCTGCATGAAAACACCATCAGGTGAGCTAAGGTTTGGATCAGCTGTGTGATCTGCACTAGTCAGGTTGGTTTGCTCTGTTACAACCAAACTTCTGCAGGCAGCACAGTGCATCCACCAACTTCACTCCAAACTGCCCCTTTCTTAAGGTAGCATATAACTCACACAAGAGAACACCTATAATAGTACTACTGTAAAAGATTATTTTCATGGTTACCAACTCTTTCCAATATATTTGAAACTAAATATTAAGTTTTTCTTGCCGATTTCTTAATAGCTGCAATAGTATCTTCAAGATGCTGTACAATTTCCCCACTGAATGCAGTCTTCATTAGAAAAACACTTGAAAAAATTAAAAACATTGTGAAGTTAAAATGTAATGTTTCTAACCTTCAAATATTGCTCTGTTGTTCTGCAAGAATTATTCTGAAAGAGAAGGATTTATTTTTAAATTATGTGCGAAATCTGTTTTCCCTTGTTCTAAAGTAGGTCAGCATCTTTCACACTCCTCCTTCCTGGTGCACATAAAAGGCAGATGCACAAGTGGCATATGAATTCCACAAGACCTGGGAAAATTTTCAGTCACAAAATGGTTCCAACTTAAATTCTACAGGAATAATCTTTTTAAAAGAGTCAGTCAGAGAAGTTTGCAGAGGGTATTAAACTGAAGTAAAAGCTGTGGATCAAAATAATTTCCCTTTAAGCAGGGTGTATCTAATCTTTAGAATTTTTCCAAGCAGTCATGTCTTCATTATGTCTTTTTCCAACCAAAAATACTAATCCGGATTCATCAAAGCCTGAAGTGAGATTTACGCTACTCCAGAAGCTACTCTTAGTATTGTTAAATTTAATTTAGTTTGAGCTGAAATAATAATTGCAAGGATTTGAATTAATCTGAAAGATTACTGTACCTGTTATGGTGGCATGAAATTTTTTTATACCCTGATTTTGTAACAGAGACTAAATCCGCAGGGGGTGGGAGGAAGAAAATTCTTAATCTAAGCATAAGTGAATTTGTAGAGAAGAGAAGGCAAGGAGCCAGCTGAGAGCTCTGTTTTTAATTTGACCTACTAACTTGTTTGAAAACTAGCAGCTGCCTCGTTCCGCTAGGATCTTTAACCAGAGTTGGTGGGAACAAAGGCCATGGAGCAGCTGCTGCCTCTGCCCTACCTGCCCATCTTCAGGCCTGGTGATGATCACCTACTGGTGTGGCACTTTCTGTGAGCTCCCAGCAGAAAACAAACCCATATATGCAGCAAACAGCAGAGTGGGTGGCAGAATTTGCCCCAGCTTCACCAATTAGTAATAATTCCAGACAATTCTTTTCAACAACAGCAGTCTAAAATCACAGTCTTTTTACACCTTAAGATCAACAAAACTATGAGCTGTTTTCCTCAGAAACAAAATTTAGGGCATGTTGTGTAAAGATGAAAATCCATGTTGAAATCTAATTTAAAATCTGCTTGTGAAGTCTTTTTTTCCAGTCATTTAGGTCTTCTCTCTTCCAGACTCCCTCTTGATTTCTTTTTATGGATTTGATTTTCCCGTTCTTTTGTGCTTACACTTGCGCTCTCAAAATCTGTATTTCCTAGATAAAACACCTCCTTCAGAAAAACATTGCAATAAAGTTTTCAGAGATTTTCAATTCCTCCTATGCCTGTTATTAAACTGCAACGAAATGTGAATAAATGTCATTAGTGAAGTATACATTTCCTAAATAGTTTTTTATTTCAAAAAGAATCCCTTTGAAAAGTCATGTCATTTTTTGCTGCATGCTGCTCCAAAATTCAGCCTTCCATGCCACTCTCTTCACTGCCAAAACTCTTCTCCTAATCAAATCTTTAAGTCTTTTAAAAGTAACATAAAAATCAAGATAACTTTTGGGAAAAATGTCAGCTACCCATTTTCCATCCCTGCTGGCCTCTCTTGTTCAGTGTCACAGACACAAACTTCTGGCTCCAGAACACCATCAGTTCATCCTCCCTGCACAGCTGAGAATTACTTGCATATCACATTCACAAAAACTATAAAGTCACTGCTTTGTCTCAACTGAAATCTATCCTCAAACCTCCTGGCTCCTCTGGGCACAGGATAAACTGCAGCCTGACAGTAGCCTGGAGGGCAGAGTACTGAGACCACAGACATTCACTGGTGAAATGTTTCCACATCATCTTCGATCTCATACTACAGTTCACATCACCCCCAGCCATTTTTCTCCTCTGTATATGCCTTTTTCTGACCTCTAGGTTATAAGCTCTTTGAGGGACATTATAACTGTACAGCCTTTGAAACTAAGCCATGGAGATAATGCCCTGCAACCAATCTCAAAGGTAACAGGGAACTTTCATACAGTCCTTAGTCTGACAGCTGAGGCCTCCAGCAGTGAATATTTCGTGATACACATCTATAACCACAAGCTGTGCCCAATCCTTGCCATTTATAAGAAATCAGCTTCGTTAGACAAGAACAACTTTTCATTACAGTTAAACAGATTTGACAGCAATGGAAAATTTTGAATGTTCTGAAACTGGAAAATTTGAAATAGTAACCAGAAGCTGTGCCCCCCAGTGCGGAATCCACCCCTTGAGACTGCTCAGCCTTAATACACGTCTGCCCCTACCTCTCAAAGAAGAGTATTTTAGAGCCAGATAGAATTTGTTTGAAATATATCTCCTGGTGCTTAGTTTATTTGGTGCTTTTTCTCTGGCTAACTTTATTACTCGTAGAGCAATTTCCTTGCCTACACTTGAAACAAGCCTTCTCTTGCATGATGATGATTAATCTTTCCTTCTAAAGCAAATTTATTCTGGTTTTAGCCATTGTTTTATCTCCTTCATGAAGGCCTTTGCACCAAGTGGCTGATTGCTGAATTATTTTAGTTTTACACTTCCGTAATCCATCCAGCTACCCTGAAAGCAGGCAGTATTTCTTATCAAGAGACACCATGATAAATGTGATTCTATAGGTCACATTTATCTTCCAAGAAGGCCCAAAAGCTCCATAAGCAGGTTGTTGTCTAATATGGCCCAGGAAAAAAATTAACATTCAAGACAATTCAAGGGCTTCTAACCTCTCAAGACCTGAAAGGAATTAATTTGTGATTTGAGCACATTTAAAATATCCTTCTTCCTTTAGACACCATGCCACATGCTCACTTAAGAGGCTGAGGGGACCATGAGCATCTGTCTCACACCACCTGCCACGGTGCCTGAACCACCATGCAAAGTGCATCTACTTTCTTAACGTGCCACCAGGCTTGTAGTTGAAGGAGGATTTTTCTCAACACTGCCCTACAGTGTCAGCACTGGTGATAGTGAGGAGGTTTCTGTTATAGGTAAGGGCTTCAGCTATCCATGAAAACTCCTTTTTAAGCAAAGTTTCCAGAAATAAGACATCGTAGAAAGGCTTGAAGAGGAAAAACCCTAGACATCTTCATATATGTGCCTGCCAAAAAGTCTTGGGAGTCCCACAGAGCAGCCAGATGTCCCCATATGTGATAATAAAACCAAAAAGACAAGGAGGAAATGCATTAATAACCATGGTAGCCATCTCGTTTAGGAATACACAACCTACACACAGCCCTTCCCCTCCAAATACTCGTGGTGACTCTTCCCTTCAGGTTTTATGTCTTCTACATTAAACCCAGTAAACCAGGCTGCGGGTACCCAGGCAGCCTTGGGGATAACATTAGCCATATTTGCTCAGACAGATATTTAAAATGGCAACCAATGCTAAGACAAAATAAAACCCATTTTCCTTATTAAGCCCTGGCTCCACACACCCTACATCACAAAATGTATGTGGCGCACAGGGTTTGGGTCTTTCCCTGCTTCTGTCTGCCTGGGTCTGAGGGGACGTTGTCCTTAAGGAGACCAGCTCTCGCTCCCAGTGCCTCAGCAGCCTCCCAGGCCCCAAGCACACCCACCCAGGCTTTGCAGGCAGCTAAGGACAGCCGGTGCCACCGCAGATTCCTTACCTGCCATGGCAGATGGAAAAGGCCTCGACATGGCATCTGGGCCAGACCTTGCTGTTACCAGGCAACCAGGCTCTGAGGTCCCAGGGCCACAGCTCCATCTCCTCACACTGAGACAGAGGGACGGACCTCGTGGGGACTCAGACTGGTTTGTCCCCCTGACAGACCTCCCAGGTTTACAGGGTGTGTAGCCCCCACCCCAAGGCAGCCTCCCAGGGGTGCTGACAGGGAGGTCGTGAAGTGCACAGCCATCCAAAGGAGTCCTTGGGCAGGAGAAGACCTTACCACCTTCCCCACATTGCACCCATGGGGACATCAGCCAAGTTGTTGTTCCCTGTAGAATTTTTGTGGAGCAGATGATTGATCAGAAATTTTCTTCTTTGTTGCAACCTCCATGACTCTAGTTCAAGGCTGTCTTCTGTCACAAACAATGAATCACGTCAAGATTAGATTAAATTTTTGCAATGAACCTATAAGAGTCTTGGCCCATATATTAAGTGGCCTTCTCACAAAACACAGTGCAAACAACACTTTCAGGTATTTGGCTAAACAGTAATTTCTGGCCTTGGAGACTATGCTGGAATCCCAGTCTTTCAAAACATGCAAGATAAAAATATTAATAATAAAGCTTAGATTCTTTATTTGCTTTTCCAAGCCTGCAGGCTGCGGTTGAGGTATATTTTGAAGCTTTCCTGTGGATCTTTTTAAATGCAGTCATCTGTGTTTGCAGTTATCTGTGTTTTACATTTATCACTAATACCAGGGGGTCTAAGAAAAAATATCCTTTGTTAAAAATTGAAGATAAAATATAGATTGCATGAGGAAATATCAGGGGGCACTGCTGATTATTTCCATGTAAACTAAGCTCATAGACACAAATAATCAGCAGGATAATATCAAATATTTTAATGATCTAAAAAAGTCTGCAACTTTCCTGTGGAGATAACCAGCGTGTTAGGAGATGGGCCCTTTCTTTCCTTCATATTTATGGCTGCTGCCACCTTGCCAAGCTATTACTGGAGACCTTCTTTGTTCACAATCAGTGTTGATTTATGGCTCAGCAAGGGACAATCAGCAAAGGTGGTACCATCTTTCACCTCCAGCACTCCGAGAAATTGCTTTGGAAATTGAACTGTGCCAGAAAGAGCACGTTTTAAATGATCTGCTCTTAATTCTGTATGTTGGGTAGAAGCACAGGACTTGATCCCAGGTGAAATGATCATCAGCCCCTCCTCCTGATGTTTGCAGGAGATGGGGGCAATCAGTGTCCACTGTGTTGTATACTGTGGTAACGCTCTTCTGCAGTTTGAATACGCAAAGTGTCTCCAGTTAACTCCCAAAACAGATGAATCC